AGGCATGATGATCTTCTCAGGGTCAATGTCACTGGTCTGCTACAGAAGTAAAATGTTCTTACAGTGGAAACTTTCCATTACTTTAGCAACTTGACAACCTCATCTCAAATCTGAGACTAGTATCTTTAATATAGAATATAGTTTGTGGAAAGCAGTGTTATTTAGAAGTTCTTACGGATTTTAGACTTTAAGACATGTGTTTAATGTGTCTGACTATCAGGAGGATACTTCAAAATAGTGTATTCTTAAGCTTTAAGAAACGAACTTAAAGAATCCTTTCTAAAAATTTACGATTGCCTCATTATTTCAGAATAGTGATATTTTAAAATGAAATGAAGCAGTTTTCTACATCAGATCACAGTATTAATTTTTAGTAAACAATTACGGACAGTGATTGTTTTAATTTCCCCAAATATATGCCTTCCTGTAATTCTAGAAATGTCCTCGAAAGAGATCAAAAGTTAAAAAAAGTCTTATCACTTTAAATGCCCAATAAAACATTTGCATGGTAAAGTTTATTAGTAAGAAAAAATCAATTTTATTTGATAAGAGTAGATAGGAAAAGTTATTCTGTTCTTTGTGAGAAACAGTATCTCCATATCCCAATTCTATTGTTAAAACTGTAGAGATAGTCATGTATGAAATTAGCTAGTATTTGGTAATGATAACCTTAGATACCACATTACATGCCCTGAATTCTTATGATTCATTTGTTAAATATTACTATATCAATAATGACCACAATCCTATAGAAAGAAGGCATATTCTTTTCTATTAGGCTTATTAGACAAATTGAAAATGATCTTTTTATCACTGATGTACTAACACAAATTTTATGACTTTCTTCAAAAGATAACAAAATAGTTGGCTTTATATCTCGTTTTCATTTCATCCTTATCAAACCCAGTGCATCACATCCTATTCTCCTATAGTTACATACTTGAACATATAACTTTCTTTTTTTTTTTTTTTTGAGAGGTTTTTGTTATAGGGCGCATGCGCTTGCCTGACAGAGACAGACAGAGAGACAGAAAGCGAGAAATCACCCCCCAGGGGGGATGGCCATGCCGCAATCCCTTCTCCTCCGTTTTCCTCTCGGGATCTTGGGCACGCACACACACGCGCCTGGTGTGAGTTTTAAGCCACCGGGTCTGGGACATGAACCACGGTTGACTACATGGGAATCCAGCAACATAGCTATTACGCTAACTGCTAATCCCAACATATAACTTTCCAAATCAGGCAAACTTATCTGAAACACAACAAAGACTCATAAGATTAATACAGAGGTTGTCCAATGTGGATGATATCTTACTAATATACTTAATGGTTAAGATTCCTTCTGTAAATTAATGAAGTTTCTGTCTTCTCATAAATACAAGAAACCATCATCCTTTCTTCAGTCCCTCTGGTGTAGTCATTCTGCTTCAACTTTGCTCTGATTTCCAGCTACCTCTTATTTGCCTTCCAAGTGCTATCCTGCTTCAATGCCCATACTGACACACACTTATGGTAGCAGGCTGCCATTCAAAAGAAGGCCTTTCAATTTGGGGAGGAATGGTCAATCAAATCTGCCTGGCCTCTAGACTCCAAGGAAGTACTGCCTTAGCCTCCCTGCCAGTTTGTCAAGACCCAGAAATTTCCTGCTTCTCTTAGGACAATTATTAATTTGACTTAACTTCTTTGAAGAAAGAAACAAACCTTCAAAGTTTAGCAGACTCTGCATGACATGTTCAACAAATGTGTCAGTCAAAGATATGTGATAGACATTAAGAAACACAATTCAATAGCAAAAGATTTAAAAATATGACTTTAAACCCTGGGGGTAGAAAGTTAGAAGAGGAGAACAAAGAGATGGAAGGAAACCTATGTTAATTGCTAGTTTATAAACTTATTTTTTAAAGTCTAAGAAATTAATATTCTAAATGTTTTATAATAGTTTATTTTAATTAATAGCTATTAAAAGGAATGTGTTGACACCAGGTGCGTGTATGCTCAAAATCCTGAGAGGAGAATGGAGGAGAAAGGATTGGAGTGTGGCCACCCCCCAGGGAGGGATTTCTGTCTCTCTGTCTCTTTCTCTCTGTCTCTAGCAAGTGTGCATGCCCTATAGCAAAAACAAAACAAAACAAAACTCTAAAAAAAGAAAAAAACAAGTTTATAAAAAGGAGTATGTTGAACATTTTATCTTTTACCTCCACGCAGAACAAAGGAAGATTTTTCAAAATCATTTCAGCTGAGGGCACCTGTTTTGGTGTTCTAAAGTTCTGTTACCAATAGTTGGAGGAAATGCATAAAATACTTCATTGTGTCATCTGTTCTCGCAACCTGATAGAATAGTCACAATTCATACCATGCCTGTCTATTTATAGATGGAAAAAAAATTCAAGAAAATAAGATTACAATTACTTTTAAGATAACATTAAAAAAAGGTAAAAATTTAAAATTACTTTAAAAGCAAATGCAAAAAGTGACAGTTCAAGTAGCAAAAACTGGCTATCATTTATAAAATTAAAAGGAATAAAGCAGCTATCTGATTTAAGAGGAATAAAAAGGAAAAGAAGTCGCCCCTAAGAAGGAAGTTGTATGCAATTTATCTCGCCCTTGCTCTAACCCATCTTGCCAACTTGCCAAATTCAACTTTCTAAATTGGAGCTTTTCACGTGTCAGCTTTCTCATTCCAGCTATCCATGGCACTATACTGAGAGAAAAATGAAAAGTGAGGAGGTGTGCATCCAGGGCCTTCCCTAATCTGGGCCTCCCCCACCTGTCAATGTGATCCAGCAGACACTGACTCTCCTTGTTCTGAACACAGCAATATTTACTTGATCCAATTCCATGAATGTTAATTACCTACCGCATAAATAGAATTATGTTTAAATTCACTGTATGAAAGGTGGTATATGGTTACCATTCAGTTAGGTGATTTTTGTAATGTTGTTACATTGGCCTAATCTTTATGATATCTTGAGAGTCTTATTTAATGGAATCCCTCTAATTCCCAGTGTTGTTGTTTTAATGACTAATTCATGTCAAAATCCCTATTCTACCTTCATTTGTCTCCATTTCTATTAAAGTAAAATACGGATTTATA